TGCTGGGATATCTGTGGGTCAGCATGACGTGACCCCATCATCTCTGTTCCTCCGGATGGTCTCAGCGTGTCGACGGACAGTTCCTCATGTTGCCCGACTGCAAACTCAGCGTTTTCTTCCGTCTCATGCAGTCAGGAATGACTCATTACTCCTAGATGACGGAAATTCAGTGAAATCTTCATGCAATCGCCTGAAATGACTCATTTTCACAGGGCAGACATTGTCGATGCGGTCGCTGGCTGAAGGGCAGTTGAATTAGACTGAACCGTGACATTTAAGATTGTGAAGTCATTAGAGATTCGGCTGCGTTCACTGCCGTGTGTGAAGAGATTTCCTTCAGCGTTGATGACATGGCCATCTCTGTGCTGACTCTTATTTTAATATCTTCAATATGGGAAATTAAATTCACTCAGAAATTACAGTTCTGTCATTGTTTACTCACCGATAGTCCCTCCAAAACCATTTAATACTCTAATATGTAACCACAGAGATGCATTGCACCAGCTTTAACCTTTATATTCATTTAGCAGACGCTTTTATCCAAACTAACTTATAAATAAGGAAAATCACAAGCCAACAATATTGACCGTTTTCAGTGCCGTATCTAGTTCAGTCGTGAAACTCTAGATGGCTCAGGCTGATGCATGTTCTTTACAGAAATCACATCATTACTGCATGGTACGATCTGATTGGCTCTGCTGATCCTGCAGCCAATGAGATCGCTTGCTCGACATTTAAATGGTCTGGTCTGAGTTCCTGTGAACCCGTCCCTAGATCTGCTACGGCGTTTATGTATGTCCATTTACGTCTGTGTGACAGCAGCAACGTACCAGATCTAGTATTTATTTATGTTTTTTTTTTTGTTTGTTTAGCATTTTAAATAGAAAAATAAAAGTTATAGTAAGTTCCAGTGCGTTTTGTTCAATACTATCGAAATAGAGAAATCTAATTAAACATTTTGTGTTAAACCAAAATTTTGTGTGGCTATCTATGTATTTTCATGCATATAAGATTTATGTTAAAAAATCAAACTCTATTGGACTCAATTGTGAATCATGTCTCTCATATCGCATCTCTCATATCTGACAGTGTACAACACTAGGTTTTGAAGCAGAGCTTGTACAGTCTCTCTCTTGTCCTGAATGAGCCTTTCAGTATTCGTATTCATTGTTTAAATGGATATAGGGGCGTGTCCTGCCTTAAGCCACGCCCCCGCACACCTGGACGCCAGGTGAGTGTGAGGGAAATGAGACATCAGTGGTGAACAGGTAAACGTGACTCACACTCGGCCGTGATTGGAGCGATGAGACTGTGTGTTAGAGGAGAGAGGCTCGACCCGTGTGTGTGTGTGTGTGTGTGTGTGTGACGGTAAAGCGTGTCAGATATTCCACACCCGCTGCAGGCACAGGCAGGGATTTCTGCTCTCCGCACGACTCCCTCATGTTCCCCGACAGAGATGGATGTTTGTCACATGACTTCACTGTACCGTGTGTTTGCTGGCCGTTTCTACTCACAGGTAGGATCGTCGTGTCCACGGGCCGCATGCTCGTTAGAGAGACGTACTGTATGGATTCACTTCTTTTAAAAAAATTCAAAATCATAGTTTTGAAACATATTTGTGTGTGTGTGTGTGTTTCAAGTCTGGCGTCTAAAAGTGTCTTCTGAATGTGTGTGATGTGATGTGTTTGTTGATGATGTATGAAGCAGACAGACTGCGGTGTGTTTGGATGGTGTCAGTGTCTGCAGCTGTGTGTGTGTGTGTGTGTGTGCGCCATACGTGACTGAGAGTGTAACCGCTCGTTCACTGACACTTTGATGTGTGCCTTTCAAGTTCATGTCTGGCTCATATTTCAGCCTAAAACTAAAAGCTAGCCTTGCTACACCCTCAGAAAAAAAGGTACAAAAGCTGTCACTGGGGCTGTACCTTTTCAAAAGGTTAACTTTTGTCCATTTTAGGTGCTAATATGTACATTTTAGGTGCTATTATGTACATTTTAGGTGTTAATATGTACATTTTAGGTGCTAAGTACATTTTAGGCGGTAATATGTACATTTCAGGAGCTATTATGTACATTTTAGGTGCTAATATGTACATTTAGGTGCCAATATGTCCAGTTTAGGTGCTAATATGTCCATTTAGGTGTTAATATGTACATTTTAGGTGCTAAGTACATTTTAGGCGTTAATATGTACATTTCAGGAGCTATTATGTACATTTTAGGTGCTAATATGTACATTTTAGGTGCTAATATGTACATTTTAGGTGCCAATATGTCCATTTAGGTGTTAATATGTACATTTTAGGTGCTAATATGTCCATTTAGGTGCTAATATGTACATTTTAGGTGCTAATACAGTATGTCCATTTTAGGTTTAATATGTACATTTAGGTGTTAATATGTACATTTTAGGTGCTAATATGTCCATTTAGGTGTTAATATGTACATTTTAGGTGCTAATATGTCCATTTAGGTGTTAATATGTACATTTTAGGTGCTAATATGTCCATTTAGATGTTAATATGTACATTTTAGGTGCTAAAATGTACCACTAAGGTACCAATATGAAGCGTTTGGGTACAAAAGTGTACCTTTTGAAAAGGTACAGCCCCAGTGACAGCTTTTGTACCTTTTTTTCTGAGAGTGTATGTTGTATTAAAGAACTGAAGGCAATCATAAGAAGCTCCTCTCAGCAGACGGGTGAATCTCGAGACAGCCGTTATGATTTAATTGCATTGTGACATTATTTTCATGACAGCTCGCATTACTGTATTGTGTCCAGATGGTTTGTGATCCTCATTAGTTTCTCACTGATGATTGTCATTAGTCTGTCATTGAATAAATCACACTGTGTTCGTTTATCTAGGCCAGAGTAGACTGAGCCGGGTTTCTCTATAGAATTCATTATAACTATAGAAATAATGGTGATCTGACTTAGGAAATAGGCATCATCTTGTCCAGACATAAGAATAAATGCATTTTCCAATTATATCTGTATCACTCTCTTTACATGGAACAGGAATTACGTCAGACGTAACAGTAAATAGAAAGTTTACTCAATAACCCAAGGCTTTGTCTGCACTTCCACTGTAAATGCTTTTCTGTAAATGATATGATTATTTCCCTTGGTAAATGTCAGCAATTAGCAGTATTAGAAGGTTTAGTTGCAAGCTCATTTTTGATTGTTTTATTCAAACACACTGACTCTTGCGTAACTGTCCTGATATGCGTGTGTGTTTGTTCTTGCACGTTTGTTTATCTTTGTCATGGGTGTGTTTCATATTTGTGATGGTGATAAGCGGATGTCTGGGATTGTTGGAACGGTGCTGAGAGGAAAGTGCTGCCATCAGTCCTTCCCTGCATCTATCTTGTTTTTCTCATAGTTTAATGTGTATGGATGTATGTATGGTTCGTTTAATGTGAGTGTGCGCCTCCAGCTGAACAAACACCCAGACCAGCGTTAACCATCTAGAAAGACGTTTATTCCTTAAAGGAGTAGTTCACTTTTAAAAAAAACTTTTACTCACCCCCATGTCATCCAAGATTTTTCTTCAGTCGAAACGAAATTAAGGTTTTTGATGAAAACATTCCAGGATTTTTCTCCATACTGTATAATGGATTTCAATGGGGACCAAACGGTTCAAGGTCAAAAGACAGTTTCAGTACAGCTTCAGAGGGCTTTAAACGACACCAGACGATGAATAAGGGTCTTATCAAGCGAAACCATCAGTCATTTAAAAAATAAATACAAAAGTTTAAGTTTTCAAATGGTCGCCTTGCTCTGTTCTGTGATGCGCGTTTGTGACTCTCCTGTTCGAACTCGTTTATCAAAATGAACGAATCTTTTTTTGAGTCATTTTGTTCATTTTTTTCGTTGAATTGACCAAATGACTCGAAAAAAGATTTGTTCATGATAAACGAGTTCAAACAGGAGAGTCACGAACGCGCATCACAGAACAGAGCAAGGTGAGCATTTGAGCTTATGAAACTTAAACTTTGTTATTTATTTTTTAAATGAGCGATCGTTTCGCTTGATAAGACCCTTATTCATCGTCTGGAATCGTTTAAAGCCCTTTGAACAGTTTGTAGTTTGAACTGAAAGTGTCTTTTGGACCTTGAACCGTTTGGACCCCATTGAAGTCCATTATATGGAGAAAAATCCTGGAATGTTTTCATCAAAAACCTTAATTTCTTTTCGACTAAAGAAAGAAAGACATGGACATCTTGGATGACATGGGGGTGAGTAAATTATCAGCAAAAGTTTTTTAGCCGAGGCTCATTCATGTTTTCACACATCAACCCTGATGTAAACATGAGCAGTGATTCATCTTATATTACGCCTCTTCATTTCATGAGTAAATTTATCATGTAGTTCACGCTTCGTCTGGCTCTCGGTCTGCTTCACACATGGAGACAGAAGGAGAAACGTCCTCAGATTATATCAGAAGTGTGAGAAACGCGGAAATGCGGTTAGAAAGTCCTTTTATTTTGGAAACAATGTCCGTTTTTAATTACTGAAGAAGGACAAAAATAGGGCTGAACAATTTAGGGAAAAAAATCAAATTGATTGAAAATGCTTTTTTTTTCAGGTGTTGTTTATGTATAATTAAGATTCCATTATAGTTTTTATTCATATTTTGAATTTTTTTTTTTTATTTTCTCTTTACATGATTATTGTAGTTAAGGATTTTGGAATGTTGTGGTGTATTTTTGTCATTTTTATTATTTTTTCATTTTTTTTGTATGTCCACCCATATAGTTTTTGTTCATTTTTATCTCAGAAATTCAGAGATGTGATTTTACTGCATTTACTGTGAACCGAGACACTCAGAATCGGATCATGAGTCGCTCACATTTAAATAAACACTCAGATATTAAATTAAAACGCAGCCTTTGTGATTTGATAATCGCACTAATTGCACTAATTGCAATTTTGATTTTATTTTTTAATCAAAAATGACCCTAACCCGTTTCCCCTTCCTCTTGTTTTTTTTTGCACAGAATATGACAGACACTTAGCGCACAACAAAGGCATGGCGACGGCATACCTGGAGCCCAACCCGAACTACACCCTGGGCCCCGGGGCCAAGGCCCGTCTGAGTGCGGGGCCGGAACGGGCCCCCGGGGCCCCCGACAGGGTCCTGAAGGTCTTCCATCACTTTGAAAACAACAGCGAGCGCAGCACCTGGTCCAGCAACATCCGGCATGGAGACGCAACTGACGTCAGGGTAAGAACAAGTCCTGTTTAGTGTCCTTCTTTTGGGCATCAATATCTGTAGCTTTAGAAGCAGTTTCTGGGGGTTTTACATGGTTTTAAGTAGGGCTGTCAAAGGGTTAATCCCGATTAATCGCATCTAAAATAGAAGTTTGTGTTTACATAATATATGTGGGCGCACTGTGTATAATTATTTTGTATATATAAATACACACACATGCTTGTATATATTTAAGAAATATTTTCATGTATATAATGTATACAGAATTATATTTAATTTTTAAATATTTGATATATAAATAATATTTTTTTCTTAAATATACATGCATGTGTGTGTGTATTTATATATATATATATATATATATATATAAAATAATTATACACAGTGCACCCACATATATTATGTAAACACAAACTTTTATTTTGGATGCGATTAATCGTTTGATAGCCCTAGTTTTAAGGCATTCTTTAGTCATTGTCTGGTAGTTGTTTGGATGTTTCTCACTAGATCTTTATGGTCATGAGTGCATGATTTATTGTAAAGGGCGAGATCTTGTGCCAGTGTGCCGAGGGAAATCCAGCTGTGTTATTCCCGCTCTGCCAAACCCCAGGCCACGTGTAGACGTCGGTTCCAGCTGGCCTGAGCGCTGTTTAATGCTGGTGAAACCCTTACGTTAGTCAATCTCTCCTGAAACGAGTCTGCCATCATATCCATACACAGTGTTTTGAGTTTCTAGGCCGGATGAAGCGCTTGATCTGCTCTGTGAAGAGCACTATATCTCAGGACCGTGTCTGTCAGAGATGCGAGACGCCGTCTGGTCGAGATACCGTTTCGTCTGCCGCTGTTTTTATGCTTATATTTAGTCTGAACAGAGACACCAGGAGTTGAAGGTAAATTGAAATATGTACTGTACTATAAATGACACAAGCGTTGGCATTGATGCAGAATTCATTTGATGTCACAAGTCTACATAAATTGTGAAATATTATAACTATTTAACATAAGTGTTGTTTATGTGAATATATAGTAAAATGTAATTTTACTCCTGTGTTCAAAGCTTCATCATTATTCCAGTCTTCTGTGTCACATGATCCTCCAGAAATCACTCTAATATGAGGATTTTCTGATTATTATCAATGTTTAAAACATGAGATACATTTTATTTTTCAGGATTCTTTGATGAACAGAAAGTTCAAAAGAACAGCATTTATTTGAAATAGAATCTTGTGTAACATTCTAAACGTCGTAACTGTCACTTTTGATCCATTTAATGATTTTTTTTTAAATATTTGAAAATATTTTTTTAAATATTTGTTTTAATATCTTTTTATATATATATTTTAATATAAAAGTAATGGTACTGACCCAATCCCATGATCTCAGGTGTAGTTTTGAACCGACCCCATTGCATTCACTGCGTTTATTGTGTGTGTGTGTGTCTCATGAAGGTTGAGGTGGGTCCCGGTCGGATCCGTTACACTCTAATCATCTAATAACCCCCGCAGGATTGTTGCGCTTCTATAAATCAGTGTGTGCCGTGTATTATGGGGGTTTATGACCATGAGCTGTGTGTGTTTTGCGCCTGCAGGGAATCATTCAGAAGATCGTGGACATCCACAAGGTGCGTCTGGTGTCCTGCTTCGGGCTGCGCCTCACTCACGGCCCGTCGGGGGACGTGCACTGGCTGCACCCGGACATGGGCGTGTCCCACGTGAGGGAGAGGTACGAGCAGAACCGCCCGCAGGACGAGTGGAGGTAAAGCGCTCACACACACTCACACACACCTTTGTTAATATTGCTTTGATCCCTGCTGAAAGAACACTACAGACGTGCCGTTAGAGTTTAGAGTTTATCCCAGTGTCCTGCTCATCGAGGGGGTCTCACAGGGACGATCGGGAAACCAGCGAAGGAGCCCGAATGTCATTGTTTATGTGCACCATTGTTTTTGGGGTGTTTAAACGACTGTTATTGGGCTGGGGGTGTGTGTGTGTGTGAGAGAGAGTGCGAGAGAGTAAGAGTGAGAGTGTGTGTGTGTGTGCGAGAGAGTAAGAGTAAGAGTGTGTGTGTGTGTGTGTGTGTGTGAGAGAGAGTGCGAGAGAGTAGTGTGTGTGTGAGAGAGAGTAAGAGTGAGAGTGTGTGTGTGTGTGCGCGAGAGAGAGAGAGTGTGAATGTGTGTGAGAGTGCTAGAGAGTTAGAGTGAGTGTGTGATTCTGTGAGTGAGTTTGTGAGAGTGTGTGTCTGTGTCTGTGATTCTGTGAGTGTGTGATTCTGTGAATGAGTTTGTGAGTGTGTGTGTGTGTGTGTGTCTGTGTGTGATTCTGTGAGTGTGTGATTCTGTGAGTGCGTGTAATTCTGTAAGTTTGTGAGTGGTGTGATTCTGAGTAAGTTGTGAGTGTGTGTGTGTGTGTGATTCTGTGAGTGAGCGATTCTGTGAGTGTGTGTGATTCTGAGTAAGTTTGTGAGTGTGTGTGGTGTGAGTGTGTGTGTGATTCTGTGAGTGAGCGATTGTGTGAGTGTGTGATTCTGTGAGTGAGTGTGTGTGAATCTGTAAGTTTGTGAGTGTGTGTGTGTGTGTGTGTGTGTGTGATTCTGTGAGTGCGTGTGTAATTCTGTAAGTTTGTGAGTGTGTGTGTGTGTGTATGATTCTTTGAATGAATTTGTAAGTGTGTGTGTATCTGTGTGTGATTCTGTGAGTGCGTGTGTAATTCTGTAAGTTTATGTGTGTGTGTGTGTAGGGCTGGTCTTTGCCAGTGAGATGCTCATGTGATTGTCATTACAGCAGGAGGAGTGTTTGAAGTGTGTGTGCCTTCTGCCGCGCTTCTCATTGTCGGTCCGTGTGTGTCCGTTTTATTTTATCAGGGTCTTGAGCCTCTATAGATGTGAGTTATTCCCTCACAGATGGTATTTTTATGTCACCTCGTCTCTACCCACAATGCACCAGCGGCCGGTCAGGCCCGTGCGCCTCATGAAGCAGCTGCAGCTCCATTCACTCGACCTGCTTTTGTTCTGTCACTCAGTGATTTAAACCCTGCGAGCGGCTGTTTGTGGAGACACAACATCAGAAACGCTTGATTATCTCCAACAGTTCAGCGACCCAAGCGCTCGTGAAGTGCTTTTGATGGTCATGAGCTTGTTCTGGTCAAGATCGACCCGAAATAAAAGTGACTTTGCTTTTAGTTTCTTAAAAACCTTTACATTTTTGATAATTTACCATTAAACAATATTTTTAAGGCAAAATATGCTTTGTTTTAAATTGAAAAAATTATAAATGATACATTTTTACACTCTAGATATATTTGTTGGCCAGACAAAAACTTTTTTTTTTTTATAAGGTTTCCAAATTTTTTTGATTCTGTTTTTTTCAGCTCTGTTTTTAATTTTGCGAGCGTATAAGTCAAGAACACATCCTGTGGTTTAACCCCAGAGAAAGCAGCTCTCCCAGCAGACTGGGGTTCAGTGTGTCGTAGAAGTGTGTGTGTGTGTGTGTGTGTTGCGATTGAGCTCCTGCTTTCTCAGGAACTGAGATTCGATCATTTCCTGAGCAAGTTCCAGGAAGTCCTGAAAAGCCATGAAGGATCATTTCCTGTGGAAACAGCCGAGGACTGAGTCCTGTAAAAGATCCGAGTGATCTGAGCTCGACCGCGATTGATGTGTTGTGCTCATGATAGCTCATATATTGGGATTGAGTTGTGTGTGTGTTCAATGATAAATCCTCCAGCACTGATTGGTTTGAGTGTTTAGATTATGCAGGGATCATGTGTGTGTGTTGTGCTCATCTTTTTCATGTGTAATTTTCCCCATTTTCAGGTTTTCATTGTGTTTTCCTTCATAAACATGACAAAAACTGTACATTAGTATTGCCAATGGGTTTGTTGCGTACAATGTTTGTATAGCCTATATATTAGGGCTGTGCAAAGATTAATTGTGATTAATCACATCCAAAATTAAAGTTTGTGTTCACATAATATGTGTGTGTGCTGTGTATAATTATTTTGTATACATAAATACACACACATGCATGTATATATTTAAGAAAATGTGTTATTCATATATAAAATATTTATATATTATATATATTATGTATTTATATATATATATATATATATATATATATACAATATTTACATGCAAATAATTCTTAAATATATACATGCATATGTATTTATATATACAAAATAATTATACACAGCTGAGCACACACAAATATATTATGTAAACACAAACTTTTAATCTTCGCACAGTGTGTGTATATATATATATATATATATACACATACACACATACTTTATATATTTAATGTGCATACATTTCTAATACAAGTACATATTCAAGTAAAGGTAAATATTTTAACATAATTTGTCAAAGTAAGATAAAAAATAAAGTGATTTTGTTTTATATCTCTTCGAGTACCTTTAAAAATGCATATAAATTAAATGTATTTATTATTATTATATTATACTAACATTTGTGAAAATAAAATAACAAATAAATAAATAAATAAATAAATACAAATACAAATAAAATTGTAGTACAAAAAAGTATCTAATAAAATCGTTTTTACTTTGTTATAAAGAAAATGTGTTTTATTGTCAAAAAATAATGAAAAGATTTTTTTTTTTTTCAAAAACGAAATAGTTCCTTATTTATTTCTATTGATTTGGGGGTGAAATATGAGATTTGGTGATGATTTTTTTTTCTCTTATATATATATATTTGTATATAGATATAAATATTTGTGTGTGTGTGTGTGTACATGGTGACTTATCTTGTCAAGACTGTTTTATTTACCGTGTTTCTGTCTCGTCCTCAGGTATGAGCTGAGGATCCGTTACCTGCCCAAGGGCTTCCTGAATCAGTTTGCTGAAGACAAGCCGACACTGAACTACTTTTATCAGCAGGTGAAGGTGCCCTCGTTCCGCTGCTGTCTGAACGGCTTCATCAGATGGAGTCTGTGTGTGTGTGTGTGTGTGTTCAAGGAGCCTCGATAGGTAACAACATCACCGCGATATCCCACAATGCTCTAGCAGAGTTCCCGCTGACAGGGAGGATCATGTGTTAGTTTTATTAAGGCTGTTCATCATCTGAACAATAGAAGGACGTTCCGGCAGATTCTGTAAAGGCCGTCTGTGATGAAGTTGTATTATTGTGCGGGCCGTGATGAGTGATGTAGTGTGTGTGTGTGTGTTAGGAGCAGAACACCTGCTGTAGACATCATCAATCACAGATATACAGTCTCCCTGACTCTGCTACACTATTACATTACAACCAATCAATAATTCATAATGGAATGTAACAAATGTAATATAAACATGAAAAAATATATAAATATGTACTTTTGCTATAAAAATTACATCATAATATGATGTACATGATGTCATATAATGCATTTTTATTATAGAATTTATTCTATCCATCCATTCATCCCCCCATCCACCTCTCCACCCATTCATCTCTCCATCCACCCATCTCTCGACCCATCCATCCATCCACCCACCCATCCACCTCTCCACCCATCCATCCATCTCTCCATCCATCCATCCATCTCTCCACCCATCCATCCATCTCTCCATCCATCCATCCATCCATCTCTCCATTCATCCATCCATCTCTCCATCCATCCATCCATCCATCTCTCCATCCATCCATCCATCCACCTCTCCACCCATCCATCCATCTCTCCATCCATCCACCATCCATCTCTCCATCCATCCATCCATCCACCTCTCCACCCATCCATCTCTCCATCCACCCATCCATCTCTCCATCCATCCATCTCTCGACCCATCCATCCATCCACCCACTCATCTCTCCATCCATCCACCCACTCATCTCTCCATCCACCCACCCATCCACCTCTCCACCCATCCATCTCTCCATCCACCCATCCATCTCTCCATCCATCCATCTCTCGACCCATCCATCCATCCACCCACTCATCCTCCATCCATCCACCCATCCATCTCTCCATCCATCCATCTCTCGACCCATCCATCCATCCACCCACTCATCTCTCCATCCATCCACCCATCCATCTCTCCATCCATCCATCCATCCACCTCTCCACCCATCCATCTCTCCATCAAACCATCCATCCATCCATCTCTCCACCCATCCACCTCTCCATCCATCCATCCACCCACCCATCCACCTCTCCACCCACTCATCTCTCCATCCACACCCACCCATCCATCCATCCATCCATCCACCCACCCATCCATCTCTCCATCCATCCATCCATCTCTCCATCCACCCATCCATCTCTCCATCCACCCATCCATCTCTCCATCCACCCATCCACCCATCCACCCACCCATCCATCTCTCCATCCATCCATCTATCTCTCCATCCATCTCTCCATCCATCCATCACCCACCCATCGTCCACCTCTCCACCCATCCATCTCTCCATCCACCCATCCATCCATCTGTCCATCCATCCATCTATCTCTCCATCCATCCATCTATCTCTCCATCCATCTCTCCATATATCCATCCACCCACCCATCCATCTCTCCATCCATCCATCCACTCATCTCTCCACCCACCCATCCATCTCTCAGTCTCCACTCTCCACCCACCCATCCATCCATCCAGTGAAAAATGTCTTGTGTGAATTCCAACATGTGTGTGTTTTGTCTCTGTTGTGCACAGGTGAAGAATGACTACCTGCTGGAGATGGCGGATCAGGTGGAGCAGGACATCGCACTGAAGCTCGGCTGTCTGGAGATCAGGTGCGCTCCTCCTCCTCCTGATGGGTTCAGCAGAACATGCAGAACTCCTGCCGATCTCATCTGTGCGTTTGTCTTTTCCAGGAGATTCTACCGAGAGATGAGAGGAAACGCTCTGGATAAGAAATCCAACTATGAACTCTTAGAGTGAGTCTACAACTCTTACATCATTTCAAGTTATGAACATTGTTTATGGTTTTGGTTTGTGTTTAATATAAATAACACTGGCACACTCTCACAGTCACTCTTTCATCTCAGCGGGACTGACTCTCTTTCTCTCTCACACACACACACACACACACACACGTGTGCATTAGTTGCGGGTCATTCCGTCTGATCGCCCGCAGTCACACAGCAGTGCTGTGGCCCCTCAGGGGGCGGGGCGGGTGGAGAGCGCACCAATCACAGTGCCAGCTTGATTTGAGTGACAGCTGCTGTGACAGAAGCTGGTTAACCTCTGAACCACTGTTATTTTACTGTCATTGTGATACTATTACAGATTTAATTCATATTTAGAATTAGTTTTTATTTCATATATTCCAGTTTCATTTTAATTTTGTCTTAATTTTTTTTTTTTCAGTTAAATTTTCAGCTAAATAAAAATAAGAAAAGGTACCTTGGCTACTAGCTTAAATACAATGGTTATATACATATACTAGGCCCTAAAACTATGTAGGTTTTAATATAAGTATATGAACTATATATATATATATATATATATATATGAAGAGTTCAGATGCAAAAGCCTCTAAATGCCATTTGAAATTTTCTTCTTTAATGATCATTTTTATCAAGCTTGTATATTTAAGTTCAGCGATTTCACTTCAATGGCAATGAAGATTACCTATTAATTGCCATTTAAGTGAAATTACTGAACTTAAATATACAAGTTTCATAAAAATGACCATTCTAGAAGAAAATTTCAAATGGCATTTAGAGGCTTTTGCATCTGAACTCTTCATATATATATATATATATATATATATATATATATATATATTTATACTTATTTAAATCCATATATTTATACTAGGCCCTAAAAGTGTGTAGTGTTTTTGTGAAGAAAGAGCACATATTTTTGAGTGTGTAGCAGAAAAGTAGGCAAATAGGTTACTAGGTTAAAATCCTCCACATTCAAATGAATGTGTATGAGACAGAAACAGCAGCACGTTGATCTGCCAGTCATGAACAAGTTGATGACCAAACGTATCTTTATGAAGGTTAACAATGTTGTTGCAGATTAAATATGATGTGGATAACGTTGAATAAATATCTTTTCGTCAGGTTAGATAGTGAGTATTAATCACTCAAACCCCTTTATCTAAACCTCTCTTCTTAACTATTGCTCTCGCACATCCGCCATGTTTGTAGTTTAATACTTTTTATTTGTGTTTGTGGTTCTGATCGAATGCTCGTCTAGTGTACAATGGGCAATATTATCCGTTAGAGCGAGCATCTGCACTTCGGACTATCCGGGTTTCTTATGATTCGGGACACACTAATGCATCCCATACTTACATTTGTGTAGTTCAGTGCTTTTACTGTAAAATGTGTGTGTTATTCATGATAAGTGAGTAGGTGTAACCTCTCCGCACAGCAGTTGAAAGCATCGACTGATGTGTCGCTCTCGAGGCCCATAAACACGCTCCAGTTGTTTTTGGCGAGGCGCCACGCGGTTAAATCTGAACCGAAGCGCTTTTCATTTAGATGAAATGATGAAACAATCATCAGGGACTGTTGGCTTTTATTGGGCTTTAAATCCCCGTCCTGAGAGGGAAACACACTGCTGATATGGGCCAGATATATATATATATATTTTTAAAGAATATAGGCTTCATATCTAGTATTTTGGATATAATAATGTCACATATTATTATTTCTTTAATTTAAATTTTAGCTGTTTAATAATGTCACATATTATTATTATTATTAATATAATAATGTCACATATTATTATTTCTTTAATTTAAATTGTAGCTGTTTAATGTCACATATTATTATTATTATTATTATTAATATAATAATGTCACATATTATTATTTCTTTAATTTAAATTTTAGCTGTTTAATAATGTCACATATTATTATTATTATTAATATAAATAATGTCACATATTATTATTATTATTATTAATATAATAGTCACATATTATTATTTCTTTAATTTAAATTTTAGCTGTTTAATAATGTCACATATTATTATTATTATTATTATTATTAATATAATAATGTCACATATTATTATTTCTTTAATTAAAATTTTAGCTGTTTAATAATGTCACATATTATTATTATTATTATTATTATAATAATGTCACATATTATTATTTCTTTAATTAAAATTTTAGCTGTTTAATAATGTCACATATTATTATTTCTTTAATTTAAATTTTAGCTGTTGAATAATGTCACATATTATTATTATTATTATTATTATTAATATAATAATGTCACATATTATTATTTCTTTAATTTAAATTTTAACTGTTTAATAATGATGAACCAGATGAACGCAGACATCTGTATTAAAAGCACTTGGCCGTCTTTGAGACTCGATGACATCATTGAATCTGTGTTTTGCAGAAAGGACGTTGGACTCCGACGGTTCTTCCCCAAAAGTTTATTGGAGTCGGTTAAGGTGAGCGAATGATTTCACATTTTCATGCGTTTATTTTTTTGAGTTGATTACTTAGTGTTAAAGTTGGCATGAAATTAAATTTGTACATGTTATTTTGCACTGATGATTCATTTGCATTGCATTGTGCGTGCGTGTGTGTGTGTATACATCGGCCTCCATTCGGTTTATTAAGATCAACAGGCAACAGATAAAAGCAAATCAACATTTTAAAATGTTCTGTATGAGAGTATTAAACCTGTTGATCGTGTTTCTTAAACCACTCAATGCATGTGGATTTCTCTTACAATCTCTTCATGCACGTTTTGAAGCGTTCGAGTGAACACACACTCTCAGAAATCTCTGATTTCATTCTAATATCTTCATTTGTGTGCCAAAGATGAACTGAAGTCTTATGGGTTTGGAATGAAGTCATTGAAGATTTTGGGTGACCTGTCCCTTTAATGCTGGTTGTGAGATGAGGAGAAAAACCAAGTGTGTGTGTGTGTGTGTGTGTGTGTGCAGCTGGCATAAGAATAGTGTTAATGAGTCAATCCCACACACCCCTGCGGACAGATGCGCAGGAGAATAGTGGGGATATTCTCTGACCCTGGGTCACCCTTAAACGTGTGTGTGTGTGTGTGTGTGTGAGAGAGAGAGAGAGAGAGAGAGAGAGAGAGAGAGAGAGAGAGAGTGCATATGTGAGTGTGTTTGTGTGTGTGTGTGAGAGAGAGAGAGAATGAGAGTGTGTATGTGAGTGTGTGTGTGTGAGAGAGAGAGAAGAGAGAGTGTATGTGAGTGTGTATGTGTGTGTGTGTGTGTGTGTGTGTGTGTGTGAGAGAGAGAGAGAGTGTGTGTATGCGTGTGTGTGTGTGTGTTGTTGACTCCAGTGATCTCACGTGTCACAATCTGCGTGTGCATGCATGCATTTGTGTGTGTGTTTGTGTGTGTGTGTGTTGTTGACTCCAGTGATCTCACATGTCACAATCTGCGTGTGCATGCATTTGTGTGTGTGTGTGTGTGTGTTGTTGACTCCAGTGATCTCGTGTGTGTGTGTGTGTGTGTGTGTGCACGTAGGCAGGACAGAGGTGTTGTATTACCGCCCCAGATCATCACTCATCCTCCCCCGACTCGTGCGTTGATGTTCTCCGAGAGCTGTTCATTTAGGCGGATTATAGCGTTTAATCAGTTTGCTTCCTAGAAATCGTTTTAAAGAGTTTCCAGTGTCGGCACACACACACTCATGTGATGGTTAGAATGGGGTTGAATGATCAGCGCCGCCATCTGTCACTCGACCGCATAAATCAAAGTCAGACATTATTGAGTTCAGCCTTTTAATAATGCTTTTTTTGGCATAGCCAAAATCCTGTCATCATTTACTCGTCTTTATGTCGTCCCAAACCTGTGTGACTTTCTTTTTTGCATAAAAGGAAATGTTTTAACGAGGTGCTGTTTGGCGTACAGTGAAAGCGAATGAACGTGAGAAACAAAGCGCTACAAAAGCACTAAAGTTTGCGTCCTGTAAGATTTTTTAAAATGTTGCATTTATTTGATCAAAAATACAGTCATACAGTGACATTATGGCAAGCAAATGATGTCAGAAATACTCCTGAGGAGAAACCAGTCCAGGATACATAATAGATGACAGAGATTCAGATTAATATTCATGCATCATATATAGAGAGCATACATATTAGCCTTGATGACACTATAAGTTGGGTAAGCCATAATTTGTGTTTTTATTAATTCATTATCAATCATTAATTATTTATATGTATTCATAATTATTAAATATAGCTAATCAGTTTTCTTTTAACCTCAAAGCAGTCTGAATTGAATCTGTATTATTATTTTAATTAGCTTTAACGTGTATAAGGGAATATTTACCCATTGTTTTTAAACGGCTCACTGTTATGATAAGTAACAAAAAAATGACGTTTTCATAATAAAAGAGACGAAGAGGTGCGTTTCTGAGGCCCAAGAAGAAGAAATGGTGTTGTCCACCCTCTTGTTAGGACTCTCAGATCTTTCCCATAATTCCTGCACAGATGTAAGACCCGATACCGCGCCGCACTTCCTCTCAGGAAGGGTGGACCGTCCCTCTGAAGCGACCCTCACATTTCTGCCTGATAGGATCTGTGTCTCAATGTTGTTAAGATACCCATAATGCCTCTCAGAGCTCAGATGATCTCTAATAGCAGACTAGACCCAGATTGAGCATGTGACTCCAGGTTTTGTGTATTTTGAGTGTTACGGAAATATGAGGACTGCTGTGTTTTATTTGATTGACAGCTGAATTTGATGGTATGATATAGAGTATGATGTATAGACATGACTTTACTGAAGCACACACAATATTTATTGTATTTGCTCCACACTATTACTCATGTTATGCTAAATATTTGATGCTTACTTCGATGTTACTCGTAATTTCTGACTTTATAGCGCTGTAATTTAATATAATGTTATTGGAGTGAAACTGAGTCATTGTTAAGCTAGTGCTGGTCGTATGGGACTTGACTAGTGTCTTGTTTTCATCCTGTGCGTGAGGTGTAACGCTGTTCCCTCTCTCGTGTTTCAGGCCAAAACGCTGAGGAAACAGATCCAGCAAACATTTAAGCAGTTCGCCAACCTGAACGACGAGCAGAGCATACAGAAGTTCTTTGAGATCCTGGCGCCCGTCTACAGATTCGACAAAGAGTGCTTTCGCTGTGCTTTAGGGGTACGGCAGGTCATGTGCTCAAATACTGGCCTCTCCTGCCTCCTGGTGGCCATGAGGAGTTATATTCAGTGACACTGTGTTCAAAATCTCCAAAAACAGACCATTGTTTTCCACCACACCACTCTTTAAAAGTTTGAGTCAGTGAGATTTTCAATAGCAATAACTGGATCAAAAGTGACAGTTTAGAATTTAGAATGAAACAATGTAACATTTTAGTTAGACATTTAGAATGTAACAATGTAACGTTTTAGTTAGGCATTTAGAATGTTACAAAAGATTCTATTTCAAATGCTGTTCTTTTTAACTGAAAAAACTAAATGTGTCAGGGTTTCCACAAAAATATGAACCAGCACAACAGTTTTTAACACTGATAACAATCAGAAATGTTTCTTGAGCAGCAAATCATCACATTAGAGTGATTTCTGAAGGATCATGTGATGCTGAAAATTCAGCTTTGATCACAGGAATAAATTGCACTGTAACATATATTCACATAGAAACAGCTATTTTAAATTGTAATCATATTTCACAATATTTTTGGTTTTTTGCATTCGTGATCATATAAATCAAAGCCTTGGTGAGCAGAAGAGACTTTAAAATATCTTTCCAACCACAAACTACATTGGCGTTTACTTTATATTTTATATCATGGGTTGGTTTCAATTTGGTGGATTAATGCGAGGAATATATTTAGAGAAAAATAGCAGTTCCTTAAAAGTTATAAACCCAACACAACTAATGTTAGTTTACTTACCAGTTGTTCTTTAAGTGACCCTGTGGAGGCCTAATGATTATTTTCTTTTGATTAAATCGTAAAGAATTCTTAATGTGAGCAACATTCTTGTTATATGCATGACATCTCTCTCTCTCTCTCTCCAGTCGAGTTGGGTCATATCAGTTGATCTTGCTATCGGTCCGGAGGAGGGAATCAGTTACCTGACAGACAAGGGTTCCACGGTAACTCACATCAACATCACCATAGCAACAAACAATGAGTTCCATCCTAAGTTGGTTTTGTCAGTTGCTTGGTTCTATTTATCAATAGCTCCGCCGGCAGTGAAATGTCATTGGTCCAAAATCACTATATGCTAAACCTCAGATATTCTGATTGGCTGATATTGATACAGTCTGCAGTACTGGCAAAAACACTAGTTGTCCAGTTCAAACAAAGTACAAAGTGAATTAATTCAGATCCACCTGTATCGCCTCGTATTATCTCCCAGAGTTCTTCAGGGCTTCTGACGGGAGTCTTTAATCACATTTTTTACTGAGAAATCATTTGTGGTTTGTGACACAGGATTTTGTCTAGAGGCAAAGTTGATGTAAAGTTCCTTGAATGTTCATGAAGCATCATAACTCTCATATTTTTTTTATTCCAAGTCTGTGTATCATCACCTGTGTCTCTCTTCCTTCAGCCGACACATCTGGCCAACTTCACGCAGGTGCAGAGCATCCATTACTCGTGCGTGGAGGAGAAGGAGAGGAAAGGTGTGTTACAGCTGGACGTGGCAGGAGCCGCTGAGGTAAACCAAAGCGCATGAAGTGAAGTAGAAGTGTGACTCAGCTGACAGTGCTGTAATTTCAGACCGCCACTGTTATTTTGGTTTCTTTGTCTGCACTTTTTGTCAGTCTGTGTGTGTGTCTCTCTCTCTTTCTGGCTGTCTGTCTTTTAAACAGTATTTTTACTCAGATTTAGACGATGTGACGGGTTCGTTAGCCTCATTTAAACCGGTATTTGAACCAAACTAAAACTGAATTATTAAAAATCATTTTCAAGCAATTAAAACACAGCTGAAATAAAACAAAATATTTAAATATTAGATTAAAAATTCTTGTTTTATTTTTTTTGCGTTTGTAACTAACACTGAAAAAAGTTTAGGTTAAAATACTAAATGTACTAAAGCTAAAACTGAAATAAAAATAAATATTAAAAAAACAAAAACACATAAGCATGACAAAAGATAACAACATTACTAAAATTACTGACTAAACTAAAGGAAAATAAATCAACTTATTTTATTTCAGTTAGTCTCCAAAGCAACATTTCTATTTTTTGTTTACATTGTAGTGCTAAAATTACTGAAACTAAAACTGAAATAAAAATAAACTATATATATATATATATTAGGGCTGTGCAAAAATTAATTGCGATTAATCGCATCCAAAATAAAAGTCTGTGTTTACATAATATATTTGTGTGTGCTGTATATAATTATTTTGTATATATAAAAACCTATGCATGCATGTACTGTATATATTTAAGAATTATTTTCGCTTAAATTCTGTATATATATATATATATATATATATATATAAATACACAACCTATATTATATAAATCTAAATATTTTATATATAAATAACACATTTTCTTAAATATATACATGCATGTGTGTGTATTTATATATACAAAATAATTATATACAGCACACACAAATATATTATGTACACACAGACTTTTATTTTGGATGCGATTAATCGCAATTAATTTTTGCACTGCCCTAATATATATATATATATATATAGCTATAATTTATTTTTATTTCAGTTTTATTTTTTATTTCATATATATATATGACAATCACTTAACCAAATTAGTAAAACAATCTAAAAAGGAAAATTGAAAAATAAAAAAATGTAAACTAAGTCAAAATATTAAAATAAAATAACACTTAATTAAACAAGTTGTGAGTCTTTATAAGAGATGAGTCATAGGATTGGGAATCAGACTAGACTGCATACAGACAGTAAAGACAACAAAATATAAGGAAGTGTTGTGTATTTATTGCCTGTTGTTATTATTATTATTATCTCATCACATTAAAGAATCACAGTAAACGGAAACACTGTCGTGGGCGTGTCTGAGATCATTTGTGGGCGTCTGAGATTATATATGTGTGTGTGTGTGTTTGGCCTGCGCAGCTGGTCTCTGCTGTAGCTGACGTCATCATGTGGCCGGTGTTTTCTATAATGGCTCATTGTGAGTGTGTCTTCTTTCCCGCAGCCTCTCACGATCAGCACGCCAGTCTTCGCCACCGCGGAGAACATGGCCGACCTCATCGACGGCTACTGCCGACTCCTCAGCGGCGTCAGCCAGTCCTTCATCGTCAGACCTCAGAAAGGTACGTCTCCCTCACACTGCTGCATTGTGGGATGTCTGGGGTATTGAGTGGAAAATCGCACAGCTCTCCATTTAAAATATATATACTACAGCTTATGAAAAGCTTTGAATTTGGGGTTTTCATAAGCTGTAAGCCATTTTTATCACATTTATAACAAATAAAGGCTTGAAATATCTCACTTTGCATGTAATGAGTCTATATAATATATTAGTTTGACATTTTAAGTTGAATTACTGAAATAAATGAACTTTTGCACGATATTCACTTTTTTTAGTTTTGCCTGTAAAATAAGAAGTGCAGTTCTTCATATTTGTGTGTGTGTGTTGATCCATAAGCGCATGTGGTGTGTTTTCTGTCCTACAGAGGGTGAGAGAGCTCTACCATCCATTCCAAAGTAAGTCATGAGTTCACTTCTGTCGTCCCTGAGCTGTTTAATAAACTGTCTAGCAGGACATTCATTTAGTTTGACCACCGGTTCAAGATTTAACACTACTAAACCAGGACAAAGCTGAAGATTGGGAAATTAGCTGGGTGATATATCAAATTTGGCAAGAATGTCATTATGGTTTTAATGCATTGTTTTTTTGCCAATGAAGTTTACTCAAGAACATTATTAGGCTATATTTCATACATTATACATTATTATATACAGTATATCAGGATGTTAAATTAGCCTAATAATGCTGTAGTTAACTGTTATTTTTTTATATTTAAATTTATATATATATGTTAGGGCTGTCCAAAAATTAATTGTGATTAATCGCATCCAAAATAAAAGTCTTGTGTTTACATAATATATTTGTGTGTGCTGTATATAATTATTTTGTATATATAAATACCTATGCATGCATGTATTTAAGAATTAATTGCGCTTAAATTCTGTATAAATATATAAAAATACATAATCTATATATTACATAAATATTTTATATATATGAATAACTTATTTTCTTAAATATATACAAGCATGTGTGTGTATTTATATATACAAAATAATTATACACAGCACACACAAATATATTATGTAAACACAGACTTTTATTTTGGATGCGATTAATCGCAATTAATTTTTGCACAGCCCTAATATATATTTTAACACACACACACACACTATATATAATATATTATATAATGTAAATAAATAAATAAATTAAATTTTTTACATTTTTATTATATTTTTCCCAGGCATGTATTATATATATATAAAATATTACATAATCAAAGTCTTTCAAAGTACATATGCTTACATATGTTTTAATTCTGCTTGTGTCATGTCTAGTACGTAAAATCTTTTGAGTATAATTTGCATTAAGCCTGTACCAATCAAACACTCACGTGAACCTCTAAAAGTCGTTGTTATGGTTGGAACTGGTTTTTTTTTTATAGTGTGCATGGAAACAATAATAATCATCATTTTGTTCATTAATGAAATTGTTTCTCCACAGACTCGCCAACAATGAGAAGCGCCTGGAGGGGATTCGGGCAGGAGTTCGTGCCATCTCTGTTTCAGGTACGACACGCCTCTCATTCACCCGAGTTATCAGGTTTACTCCCGCTGAGCATTCTGGGTAAAGACCGGATCTGATCGGATCTGCCAGACAACAATATCTACAATATGTTCATATCAAAATATGATTTTTGTGAACGCCGGTGGGATTTTCCCTGTTTTATAGTTTAATATCATCGCTTAACACTTCTCGATCCAGTCATATCCACAATGGATCCGTCCTACATTAGTATGTCCTGCTGGAGATTTGGTTTCACTCTAAAATATTACAGTTAAAAACATTGCAAATGCTCTTTCACGTCGTCTTTAAAGCGTTTCTCAGATGTCTTCAAGATGTTGGGCAGGTTTCATTTGTAGATCATCATTGCTTGTATTCCAGATGTTTGGTATCTTTAGCTCATGAACGTGTCTGCTGTTTTAAAGCGTGAGTGTTACAGCTATAACTGTTGGAGTGAAAGTGTGGTTTCAGGATGAGATGTTCAGGGTTGTTTGTTCTGTGTCCATTCCTCCCTCCGTATGCTTTGCTTCACTCTCTTTCTCTCTCCTTCTGTCGTTCTTCACTGAAGACTCTGTGGTTCAGACGCCCACCAAAGCTGCTAAAGCTCGACGATTTCTCCTTCCGTTTGTCCTCTGTTCCCATGATCCTCCTCCTAAGGGTACATGCTGTTCCTGTGTGTGTGTGTTTAACACTAACACCCTTAATTGCTCTCCACCCCAAACATATTCAATCTGTTTCTCATGTATTCATACCACAGCTCTGATTCATCGTTTTCTTCAGTCGGGAAGCGTTTATCTATGTTAATGCTGTATTGATTAAACTATGCAAAGGTCTCATGTCTCTTAAGAGGGTGTGGTTTCTACCTCGCTAACCAATCAAATCACATTCTGCTTCACATGTGATTGCCGGCCACGTCTCCTCCGTGACTTCGCCCCCAGCACACCTGTGTGTTGCAGATCTTCTGTTAACTGCACAAAATGTTGATTTATTTTATGGTTCATATCAGATGCTGAGGCGTCAGTCTGTTTTGTATGCATCTTTGACTTTGATTAGGCCACATTTTGCCCCAAAATCCAAAAAATAAACAATTTTTTTTGCTTTAACAAAATGAAGCCTATTTTAGGATTTTGTTTGTTTTTGTTGCTTATATATGAACTTATTGTCATGTCAGTAAAATGCACATTACTGTAATTACTCTTAAACTTGATTCTCATTAATAAAGTAACAAAATCTTCTTGTCCAAATTTTTATTTAAATTAAATAAATACATTTTAAAATGAAATTTAATTAAATTTAAATACATTTTTAAAATAATTGCCATGAAATAGAATTTGAACAAGAAGATTTAGTTTCGTTTATTTCATGGTAATTAATTTAAATAAATGTATGAAATAAATTGAATTTGGACAACAAGATTTTGTTCATTTTATTTATTTATTTAAATCAATTTAATACATTTATTTAAATTGCCATGAAATAAAAATTAACTTTTTTTGCTGTTTACTTTACAATTTAATAATAAGTTTATATATATATATATATATATATATATATATATGTAATATAATAAAGCAATATTTATATTATACATTCTTACATATAATAATAATAATTAAAAAAAAACAGTAATGATAATGCAATATTTTACCGACAATTTTATTGCTAATTTGCTATTTATGTTAAAATGTAGAAAACCTCCAAAAAACCTCCAAATAATTATATATATATATATAATCTTTTTGTATATATTTGTTCTAATATATATATATATATATCTCACAGTGATGAGAATATAATATTTATTTTGACGATATTCTAAAAGTATGGTTCATTTTCTTTATGCAGAAATATAATTTCTTGTTTTTTTCTTATTTTGGTTTAGTGATAGAGCTTTTGAAAGTCTCCCAATTTTGCCAATAATGTTAAAAAGTGTAAACCTGTCCCTAAGTAATATTATTTATTATATAAATGCAAATCTGTTTAAACTGCACTGAACTAGACCCGTGGCAGAAGTGTGTCCACGTCCCAATTGAATCTCATCCCACACATTCCTGACCCAGTATAACCACACTAATGACTCCCAGAACAGCACGAGCGAGGACTTCTACACCAGTTCATGATGTGTGTGTGTGTTCATGCCTGCTGATGAATTAATCTCTCTCTGATCTTTGCATGCTCTCCTCGGACCTGCAGAAGATAGTGGAGATGGTAAAGTTTGACCCGTGACCTCTAACTAACTCTGTGTGCATTTGGAAACTTACTTGAATATAGACAATCTAGCATATGCTCAGTTTAGCTGGAGTGTGTAAATGCGAGTTGTTTTTATTGCATCTCCTTCACTTGAAGCGCATGCTTGCTCCCTGCATTCCTTATGAGACAGACTTTAAATGTGTCATTATTTGGAGAAGAGCGTGACCTCTCCCAAAAACTTAAACGCCAGACTAAATCTGTTTTGCATGAAGACGAAAGAGTCACTTCCTTCCCCTGGCTTTCTCAAGCACAACCACAGAGCTGCTCTCCGATTGGCCGGTGGGACAGCCAGAGCTGCTCTCTGATTGGCCGGTTGGACAGACAGACACTCAGAGCCACACAGATTGAGTTCAGAGAGTTTAACAGAGGAGTTTGTGTGTATGTGTCTTCATGGAGGAGTTTCTTGGCTTGTTTTCGGCCGGCTCTAGTTTCTGTAGTGGAAGGTTACGTGTGTTTCTGACTGAGTGGGCGTTGCTTTGGCCAGTGTGTGTGTGTGTGTGAGATACTGACCGCTTCTTCTGTCTCCCTGTAGAAACGGATGACTACGCAGAGATCATAGATGAGGAAGACACCTACACCATGCCCTCGAGTAAGTACCCTCACTCGTGCTGTCTGTGAAGTGTGTGTGTGTAACTGTCTCCTGGGATCCAGATGTGCCTGTCCAGATCTGTACGTTTTCAGAGCCTGACATTTTTTTCCCTGTCTGGCTTGTTTGGTTTGTTGATGTGGCGGCAATTGCAATTTAAAGTATCCAGCTCTGACATTCCAGACAATTCTCTCTGGAAACTCATGCAGGATTCATTCGAGAGTTTATATCGAGATTTATTAAGGTAAAATTAGGTGTGTGTGTGTCACTGGGTTTGTCTAAATCAGACACAATTCGCTTCGGGGAAGCCCTCCAAAGTGTTTATTAATCCACTGTAAAAACACAACGAGTTTAATCTGAATTAACGTTATATAAACACACTACACTCTTAAAAGTAAAGGTCCCATAAGGGGATTTTCTCAGCAGTGCCATAGAAGAACAATATTTGGATCCCCAACAACAGTTCCTAATATAACAATCTCCTATAAAAAAATGTTTCCACTATAAAATCTGTGTTTGTGCAATGGAAAGTTTATATGGATAGATTAGATTATTATAAGAGCGAAGCAGTCAGAGATGTGAGGAGAGCGAGTGTGTGTGAGTCAGCGACTGAACACTAACATTCACGAGTGTGTGACTTTACATGCGGGCCTGTACAAACAATCACAGGATTCTGAACACACACCGACTTAATGCGTTACGAGTGTCTTTGAATGAAAACGTGCCATTATTTACACACACACACTCTGAGAAAAAAAATGGTAAAACTGTTTTTATTCTCACAAATTGCTTGTAAATTCCACAAATAATTAGAAAGGATGCCAATTAACACATTAAAGTAGTAAGACTTGCATAAAACATACTCCAATAATCTCTTTTTTTAATAATTTTACGGGGCAAATTTTCATGAGGTGACTTAAAGGTGCTATATGCAGGATTTTTGCAGTAAAATATCCAAAAACCACTTGGCCAATGTTATATATTTTGTTTAGTTGATTATAGGGATGGGCAACGATTAATCGCATCCAAAATAAAAGTATGTGTTTACATAATATATGTGTGTGTAGTGTGTATGATTAATTTGTATGTATAAATACCCACACATGCATGTATATATTTAAGAAAAATGTGTTATTAATATATCAAATCGTTATATATAATATTAATTATGTATAAATATATATATATATAAAGTATATACATGCAAATATTTCTTAAATATATACATTCATGTGTGTGTATTTATATATACAAATTAATTATACACACTACACACACATATATGTAAACACAAACTTTTATTATGTATGCGATTAATCGCGAATAATCGTTGCCCATCCCTAGTTGATTACTCGTACTGCGATTGTAACCATGACAACAGACGTGGACAACTGGGCTAGCAGACTTGAAGAGGACTAAAACAAAGATCAACATTTCATTTCGTTTCATTCCTCTAATAAACTGACCTGTGTGAGTATTAATCCAGCACTTGTGTGTGGCGCTGGTATACGTCTAGTAATCGCGCCCTGCTTCACACCACAGTCATGTTAAAAACATCTCTGTATTCACTTATCCATAAAAGATCCATCAGCTTGACGACAAGATCCATAATTCCGCTTAATGCAGAATATATGTCATTAATATACGCCTTTGTTATTGTAAGAGTTTAGCAACCCCTGGTGGCGAAATAATCTTGCATATTGTACCTTTAACCCTCACGTTGTGTCCGGAGTGGATTTAGCTTTTCCCAAAAATGTTATTGTTATAACTCCTGTGCTAATCCAGAGAAAACAAGTTGGCAGATGTAGCATAATGAGATTTACAAACAAAGAAAATCACTTAATGCTGACGTTTGGCTTCAGAGGAATATAAACATATGCATGAGTTGAACTATTGTCGTATTGCGTTTGCTCTTTCACTGCAAAAAGAGCAAAACAAATAGTATTTTACGGAATCTAAGCATCTTTTCTGAGAAATGTATCAATTTTAAGTGTTCATTGTTAAAACAAGAAAAATATCTAAACGTCTTAGAATGAGATCGAGAATGAGACGTTTGATTTTATTTTATTGCTCATTTTCCAAGTCATTCTTCATGTTGTCTTGTAGTTTATTTTCTATAATATGCTGGATACAAACATACGTAAGCGTATTGCATTCACTTGAGGAAACAAAATCTACTCTGTTTTTCTGAATTAATGAGCTAATTATCTCAGAATTACGAGATAATTGATCATGGAAAAAAAGTTTTTGCTCTGTTTTTCTGAATTTCTGAGTTTGAGATAATCAAGTCATTAATTCAGAATAAAACAGAGCAAAAAAATTCCATAAATATCTTGTAATTCTGAGATAGTTCACTCGTTAATTCAGAAGAACAGAGAAAAAAATCCATGAAAAATGATCTCGTAATTCTAAGATAATTAACTCGTTAATTCAGAAAAACTTTTTCCAAGAAAAATTATCTTGTAATTCTGAGATAATTAACTCGTTAATTCAGAAAAACGGCAAAAACTTTTTCCAAGAAAAATTCTCTCGGGAGTTCTGAGATAATTAACTTGTTAATTCAGAAAAACGGCAAAAACTTTTTTCCAAGAAAAATTATCTTGTAATTCTGAGATAATTAACTCGTTAATTCAGAAAACGGCAAAAACTTTTTTCCTTGAAAATTTATCTTGTAATTCTAAGATAATTAACTTGTTAATTCCGAAAAACGGCAAAAACTTTTTTCCATGAAAAATTATCTTGTAATTCTGAGATAATTAACTTGTTAATTCAGAAAAACGGCAAAAACTTTTTTCCAAGAAAAATTATCTTGTAATTCTGAGATAATTAACTCGTTAATTCAGAAAACGGCAAAAACTTTTTTCCATGAAAATTTATCTTGTAATTCTAAGATAATTAACTTGTTAATTCAGAAAAACGGCAAAAACTTTTTTCCATGAAAAATGATCTTGCAATTCTGATATAATTAACTCCTTAATTAAAAAAACGGCAAAAACTTTTTCAAATGAAAAATTATCTTGTAATTCTGAGATAATTAACTCGTTAATTCAGAAAAACTGAGTAGATTTTTTTTCTACAAGTGAATGCAATCGCTTCCGTACAAACACGCATACGTCAGTGTGTCGATTTATAACAGCTCTTTCCTGAGTGTTTGACATGTCTATCATCTCATCTCATCTCATCCCTCTGTTTCTCTTTCATCCTGAGCTTTAATTCTGATCTAAACGCCCAATCTCTCACTCTTCTCTTTAACACCAGCCGAATGCTATGGATTAGACGCAGGTAACGCCATCCCTCTGTCTGTGTGTTTCTCTCAGGTTTCTTTTCTGTTTTTCTCTCTTTTGCCGTGTGCTTGTGTTGTTTTGGTAGCAGGTTCCTTCTCGTATTATTGGCAAATGCAGGTTTTCATCAAATGTGTAGTATTGTGTATTCTGACCCTTGACCTTGGCGTTGTCAGTGTCCAAATCTATCAGTCAAAAGTATTTTAACACCCAAAACATGGCATACTTCTTCTTTAAGGCTTTATCTTATTCTTAAGCATCTTTGTTTTATTATTATTAATCAAAATAATATGAATATTAATAATAACCAAATCAAAATCATAACCAAATATTAATACAAATAATAGTAACCCATTTATATATTTATGAGCTTAAATATTTCGTATAACAGAAAACCTGCAGAAGTCATTGATATGTAGACAATGAATAGATTTTTGTTTTGCTCATTTATACTTCTTAGTTTTTAGTTTGTTTGTTTTAATAAATTGTGCATTTTTTTAAATTACAAAAATGTTTTACTATGATATTCAGAAAAGATGCATTAAATTGAACAAAAATCACAGTAAAGACATTTATAATGTTACAATTTTTTATTATTTTGCTATATAATGATTTTTACATAATATTTAAGAGTTTCTTGAATACTTATTTTGATATAGGTCATGTACATTAGTCAACGCCATATTTAATATGACAAAATATCTGGCATTTTTGTGCATTTCTCAATCATCTTAATCAGCATCATCTTATGTTAACTTTAATTTTCATAACCAATTTTTTGTCATCTAGATTTATTATTTATTATTATTAAGTTTTTTAATAGACACATTTTCAATGTGTAGTTGGAACGCATTAAATGCATGTCTTTCTGTCGCTCACTGCCTCGTCTTGATTTGTGGATTATTAAATATGGCATCTACCCTGACTAAGGTCATGACCTCAGTGTTTGTAAAGCTGCACTGGTGAATCGCTGAGCTGTGCGTTCAGTAAATATGGTTGCGCTCGTCCTCTGAACGCATGACGCCCAGGGTTTGTGATGCTCCTCTGATGATGAGCTTCAGGTTTGTGACGTCTGCCTCCTTGTGTCTTTCGTCCGCAGCTCAGGACTATGAGATCCAGCGGGACAGAATCGAGCTGGGACGGTGTATCGGCGAGGGACAGTTCGGTGACGTCCACCAAGGGGTTTACATCAGTCCGGTAAACTGCACATTCATCATCCACACGGTCCAAACAACAGTCCATACCGAACAAACACTGTCAGGACCCGGATTACCAATTCTCCAGTGGCTCATTTATTTATGAGTGAAATAAAGCCTGTGGTAAACATAACTGGACCATACTTGATGTTTTCTTCTACAACACAAACTGCACACACATTTTGAAGCAGTTATGTTTATTTTTGAAAACATGTGTTTCTAATAAGTGACTAGATAAGACCGTTTGGGCAGTTTACATTATAGGACAAAACGTCAAAATATTGTCAAGTTATTGATTATTATTAATTTTTTGTTGTTTTTATGTTTTTTTTGTTGTCAAGTTACGTTTACCACAGGCTTTATTTTACTCGCAAAAATGATCATTAAAAAACCTGATTATACAACCAGCGGCGGATTAATCTTCCAACTATTATTTAGCACTAACTAGTCTAATGCATTCATTAAACTTTAAAACCTAAAAAACCTTGTTATGAAAATGGTTGTAAAAAAAATATCAATCAAATATGGATCTTTAATTAATGCATTTTTTTTTGATAAATAAGTTTATTAGTAAGAACAAATAAGTTAAGCAAGTTAGAAGTCAACATTTGGTCCTAAACTATCTAGAGATCTTAAATTAGACTAAATCTAACACTGTTACCCATTCTTCTGTTTTGTCTTTGTTTTTTTTTTGTTTTTTTTCTTCTTTTAAAATAAATATATTTGGAATTTAAAATCAATTTAAAATGTAAAAAATATTTAAATAAATACATATTTGAATTTATGACAATTTTAAACAATTGATGTATGTATATATTTTATTGATTTATATCAGAATTGTTTATTTTTATTAGGGCTGTGCAAAAATTAATTGCGATTAATCGCATCCAAAATAAAAGTCTGTGTTTACATAATATATTTGTGTGTGCTGTATATAAATTATTTTGTATATATACCTATGCATTCATGTATATATTTAAGAATTATTTGCACTTAAATTCTATATAAATATATAAATACATAATCTATATTAGGTTAAATATAATAAATAAATATAAATATAAATATTTTATATATGAATAACACTAATTTTTGCACTAATTAATTTTTGCACAGCCCTAATTTTTATATTTTATGTTGGCTATTGTTAGAAACTAATAATGTCACACAAATATACAATGGTTTGTAATGTCCCAAAAGTGTTTTCTAACCTGTTCCTCTGGTCTCCTGCTCTTTACTGTGTTCTGGAACTGTTAAAACAAACTAAAACGTCACTGTTTATAAAATAGCATCATGTGCTCTTCCGGACAGGAGAATCCATCATTATCAGTGGCCATAAAGACATGTAAGAACTGCACTTCTGACAGCGTGCGTGAGAAGTTTCTACAGGAAGCTCGTGAGTATTTTAAGTAATGCTGGCTTCACACTAGTGACCCACACCACTTTTAGCGTTTGTTCTCCACCATGGTTATTCCACCTGAACACATGACTCATAGTAGAGTTAAATATGAGGAAGTCACCACTGCCACGGTTTTAGAGAAGTCAGAATCACATAAACCATTATGATTTTGCAAAAGTGTTTTGCATGAGAATGTTTGTGTGATGTAACGCTTGACAGTGACAATGCGGCAGTTCGACCATCCGCACATTGTGAAGTTGATCGGGATAATCACGGAAAATCCCGTCTGGATCATCATGGAGTTGTGTACGCTTGGAGAGGTGAGGCTTGCTGTCGTTTCAAAGTGCCCCTTTTTTAAAGGCTCCTAATTTTGTTTAGCAGTTTCCTTTAAACCGTATTCTGGACAAATGTGGGCAAAATAGTTTGATTTATTTTTAAAAAATACTTTCCTTGATCTGAGCTGTACAAAACTTGGCTACTTTTCCTAAGTTTTCCTCCTGAACACACACACATTTTTTTTTACTCAGTTCTACAATGTTAAGTGGGTGAAAAAAAACTCCTTAATCTTGTATTTGGGTCAAAAATGGGCACCCATAGAAATGAATGGGGAAAAACTGTATTCTAAAATAAGCCAAAATAAGACACCAGGTGACGGCAAAGTCACTTCATCTTTAGGTTTAAGCTCTAAGAACTTATTGGAATGATATTTTAATGTAGTTAAAAATTTTTTACAAATAAAACATAAAAAATAAGCATAATTTACATAGAAAATATGGTACTTTTTGAAGTAAATAAATTCAAAAATACCCCCAAAATACAAAAAAACGCCATAAATGGATAGACAAAACTTTATCGAAGACAGTGATATAACATTTATAATAAATAAAAATTAGGATCACACCTGAGTCCTCTGTGCCCACATTTGTCCACAATTACGGGGCTATAAAGTAAATACGGTTTGAGACTTAATAGGTGCATCCAAGGTCAAAAAAACACTCATTTTCTCATAACATACACTGCAGCATCGGCTCTGAAATTTTTATAAATTATTCAGTCTCTCTAAACCCCGCCTTTTCTGAGAGTCTGCTCTGATTGGTCAGAAGGCCTAATCTGTTGTGATTGGTCGACCGCTTGCAGTGTGTGTTGGAAAACCCAATTGCATATCTGATTCTCAGCTCTTTATACACGATGGCATCGGTTTTACCGTATAAATCCTTTGGAAGTGGATTTGCTTTTGGATTTTGCAAACCAAACTCTTCTAGTTTTAGATAAAACTAAAGTGTTTGAGGGTCAAAGACATTGTTCATGAGCAGCCAATGAAGACCATAGACTGACATCATCCAAATATTTACATGTCACAACTGGCATTTAAGAATCGCTTCTTTCTTAATAAAACAATAAAATCGATTTATTGTGTATTTTGATTCACAAGCAGCTTTATTATATCTGTAAATGCATAATGGGGCACTTTAAACTCCTCTTTTGGTTGATAATCTTCTAGACTCACCGTTGTGTTTGTTTTTAGTTGAGGTCGTTCTTGCAAGTAAGGAAGTACAACCTGGACCTGTCCACGCTGATCCTGTTCTCCTACCAGCTGAGCACAGCGCTGGCGTACCTGGAGAGCAAACGCTTCGTGCACCGGTGAGCATCAACACCACTGACGTTTGCGCAACTCTTTTCTGGAGATCAACGTGTGTTTTCCGCAGGGACATCGCTGCCAGGAACGTGCTGGTGTCGTCCACGGATTGCGTGAAACTCGGTGACTTCGGTCTCTCTCGATACATGGAGGACAGTTCCTATTATAAAGGTAATTCACACTCCCATTTAACAAGCGATTAACCTCAAAACAACTTCATGTACTTAATATGTATGTGTAGTAAAAAACACTACAAGCTACTACAAGTAGCTTGATCTGCCGTCCACCTCAGATCCTGACAAACCGCTGATTTTAACCCTTCAAAAATATATAATTAATGCAAGAAATAACATGCCGAGAACAAGGAAACAGCGGCCTCTGGTGGATAGTGAAGAGAACAGCGGCCTCTGGTGGATAGTGAAGGAATATTTGATTTGTTTATAGTCTGTAAAAAACTTTTTTAGTCTGCCTAATTGTTAATGCCATGCAACATTTTGTAAGATGGGCCCAACATGTGAATAATCTTTAATAAAGTTGTACATACAAATTAGTTTAGTCTTATTTTTTAATGTTGAATTTTTTGATTATGTTTGTGTTTAGTTTATTGTTTGTTGAGTGTTGAGTCTGTATCTGTCTTGTAATGGCCTGTGAAGCAAAACATTGAAGTACAAAATACAAATACAGTGTGTGTGTGTGTGTGTGTGTGTGTGTTTTCCAGCTTCTAAAGGGAAACTGCCGATCAAATGGATGGCTCCAGAATCCATAAACTTCCGGCGGTTCACGTCAGCCAGCGACGTCTGGATGTTTGGTAACTGCTCCTCCATTATACTGTGTCTCATAGTTGATCTTGAACACCATAAATATGCTTTGATTTTTTTTTTTTTTTTTTGGTTTGATCTTTCTAGTATTAAAACAATATTTATTATTATTATTAATTATTCATTTGATAATTTTACTCTTAATAATATAACATAAAACATTTTGGATTATTTTTGTGGAGAATTTATATAAATCCCACTCACTATATTTATATATTAAAATATATTTTTTTTAAATGTGTATATATATATATATACATAAATGTTTTTAAAAAAAATATATATAAATGTTTTTTTTAATTTATATAAAAGTTATTTTAATATTAAAATATTATATTGGACTTTAATCCTATGCACCTATGAATAATTCAGGTGTGTGAGGATCTATATTTTCTATTAAAACATTAATTTTGTCATTTTTTTTTGCCTCTATTCAGATGTGACCAATATTATATATTTTTAAATGTATATAAATGTTTTTTTTTATTATTATTATCTTAACATTAAAATATTATTTTGGATTTCAATTGAATTTAATTGAATTTAATATTTTCTATTAAAAATGTTTATTTGGTCAATTTTATTTTGCCTCTTTTCAGATATGACAATAATTACATTGGTCAAGCTATCCTCTCTGATTAAACCATAAAATCGTTTACTCTTCATATATTCTATAATAATTGTTTGATTTTATTTTTACTTTGCCGAATCCAGTGTCTTTTGGAGTTTATTTGTGATGATGAGGCAGATTTCTGCTCGTGTCTCTCCGTCAGGTGTGTGTATGTGGGAAATCCTCATGTTCGGCATCAAGCCCTTCCAGGGTGTGAAGAATAACGACGTGATTGGACGGATCGAGAACGGCGAGAGGTTAGCGATGCCGCAGAACTGCCCCCCGACCCTCTACAGCCTCATGACCAAGTGCTGGGCGTACGACCCCAGCAAACGCCCGCGCTTCACCGAACTCAAGACTCAGCTCAGGTCAGTGTGTGTGTGTGTATGCTCAGATCAGTGTGTGTGTGGACCGCTCTACTCATGCTTTTGTAAAGCAAATCTGGATAAAAGCATCTTCTAGATGATTTATGTCACATGTGATGTCATAGTAAAGCTGTTTGACAGTGTTTGCAATGCTTTTATGCACTTCTTGGTTTCTGACACTAGAGGTCTCTGTTTAGCTTCCAGAGAGTCTTGGTCACTCCAGAATGATCAATGATATAACATTTATTTTTTAACATATTATAATATTTATAATAATATATTTAAGTTCTCATTTTCTTGTTGTGCTCTAATATGCAACAAATTAACCATTTATAATAATTCATTATTAATAATTCTTCATTGAATATTATATGTCATCTCTGTGAATTTTAGTGGTGCAATTTAGTTTGTACTAATTTTGTATAACACTAATGAAGAATAAAAATGAAGCGTTTCAGAAAACACTATTTATCAGTTACACACCTAATGTGAATCATTTGCATTTTATTTTGTTGCACTTCTGCGTTTGGTGAAATGAAAGTTTGCTCTATAAATACCAATATATGAAAAATAAGTGATATTATATTTAAAATGTTGTATTTTTTTTTTAGTTTGTCTAATCTAAGGCAAAGGTCAGTCTAATCACTTTTAAGAAAGCAGATGTCCTGATTGCTCTGAGTGTGTGTCCCTGCAGCACGATCCTGGATGAGGAGAAGGCCCAACAGGAGGAGCGCTTCCGCATGGAGATGAGGAGACAGGTCACCGTGTCCTGGGACACTGGCAATTCAGACGAGGCTCCTCCGAAGGTGAACCTCAGGGACACAAACATGTGTATCAGAGATCTGCAATAGTCTACAGTGTGTGTGTGTGTTTGAGTAACTGGTTTTGGTTTCCACAGCCCAGCCGACCTGGATACCCGAGTCCTCGATCCAGTGATGGATATTTCCCTAGTCCTCAACACGCTGGTCAGCTCAATCACTACCAGGTACTACTCTTTACGCAAACACTCGGTGCTCTCGGGTCATTTTTGACCCAAAAAAAAATTTTTATAAAAATATATATATATATATTAGGGCTGTGCAAAAATTAATTGTGATTAATCGCATTCAAAATAAAAGTCTGTGTTTACATAATATATTTGTGTGTGCTGTATGTAATTATTTTGTATATATAAATACCTATGCATGCATGTATATATTTAAGAAAATGTGTTGTTCATATATAAAATATTTAGATTTATATAATATAGGTTATGTATTTATATATATATATTTATACAGAATTTAAGCGCAAATAATTCTTAAATATATACATGCATGCATAGGTATTTATATATACAAAATAATTATATACAGCACACACAAATATATTATGTAAACACAGACTTTTATTTTGGATGCGATTAATCGCAATTCATTTTTGCACAGCCCTAATATATATATATATATATATATATATCGAATTGGTATGAAACTTGTTCATGAACATGATCCGAACAGGTTAAATGGTCCTGAAAATTCGTCTTTGAAAAAAGATCAAACTTAAGTCTGTGCTCTAAAGCATTTAAGATGTACGACAATTTAAGTTGGAAGTTTAATTTTCAGGTTTATGCTCAAAAAGTGAATAAATGGATTATAAATACAGTGTAAATATAATTTAGTACCATAAAATCCCCTTAAATAAAAAACATTATCGAATTAAAATATAGGACATTCATTTTATTGAAATAAAGAAATAAATTTCAGTCATTTTTGACCGACATGTTAAGAGCAGCTGAGGTTAATAAATAAATAACTATATAATTGTTGGGGTGCAGGATGTGAATAATTTTTTTTTTCTGCTGCTCACATAATGTCACTGCAATGGAGAGCCTGTTATTAATGTCATACCTCACTGATTACTGTCACCAAACCCTCACGAAATATCCCAAAACTGGCCAACATAAACATTCAACAAATAGCCAAACACACTTCAGATAGCACTGCACTTCTCTCTGCCCAAACACCCTGATTTACTTGTGTTTATCTAGAAGAGTGTGTGATTGGCTGGCTTCAGCTCGATGCAGTTATTTCACAGCTCGTCCGCGAGCGCCTCTGACGCATGCTATTGTTGACTCCAGGTGCATTCCATCAGCTCACACACACACACACACACGCACACGCATCACCGCTCTGTTTTCATGCCTTAAAAGGCTTTTGTGCTCAATCCGCTGGTTTCTGTGTCAGGGTGATTATTGGCCTTTCTGAGAGTGTGTGAGATGGGGTTCTTGAAGACAACCTGACGCGGCTTTCATAACACACTTTACTTACATAATGTGACATTTATGAGAGTAAAATGATTTAACAAGGATATAAATACCATACTACAATATTAAATGTGAATATGGAAAATGTGAATCGCTATACATTTTTATTGTTATCTAAGACTAAATGTTTTTGAAAAATTGTTAATAGAAGCCTATCTGGAATGAAATAGATTTTTTTTTTTTTAAAGTTGGAAATAAAAAAGTAAAACCTGATTTTTTTTTTTTTTAGAGAAATAGACATAACTAATAAAAAGGAGAAAAGCACATTACAAAATTTGTTAACAATTAATCTACAATTAAAAATACAAAAAATAAAGCTAAAATAAAAATAAATATTAGATAAAAAACTAACTGAAATACGTTTAATAATTTTTTTTTTTTTTTTAAATGAAAGAATTGAAAACAAATTAAAACTAAAGAGAAATATAAAAACTAATAAAAATGACAAAAGCACATTTTTAAATTAAGTCTGAAAATAAAATAAAAAAATAAAGGTCATTCAAAGCTGAAATGAAAAAAAATATATACATATAAATATTAAAAACTAACTGAAATTTTTAACTAAAGTTTAACTAAACTTCAAAATTTTAACTAAAGTTTTAGTTGTATGTACTAAAAACTGAAAATGTAAAAATATAAGTAAAATAAAAATGAATTAAAAATGATAAAAAGTGACGAGCGCATAGCAAAATTATTAATAATTTAAAAAATTGAAGCTAATTCAAATTATTAATAAAAACTAAAATAGTATATAAATAATACTTCAAATAAACAGTATTCTTTTTTTGTATTTTTTATAAATAAACTTTTTTTTTTAATAAATAAATGTAAATGTGCTTTAAATCAAATGTCTTTCATCTGTCCAGGGGTCTGGATATCCCAGTGCACTCGTGCCCGGAGCAGGATTCCCCCCACAAGCCTCGGTCCTCGACCCACACGAGACCTGGAACCATCCCGTGTGGTCTCCGAACATGGAGGTGAGTGAGTGTGTGTGTGTGTGTGAGTGAGTGAGTGAGTGAGCGAGTGAGCAGATGAGGCCGTTGAATGAGTGTTCAGTGGAGTGCGGTCATAAACGCTGCTGTGTTCTGTGTGTGTGTGTGTGTCAGGATGGGGCGGCTCTGGGCCGGACTCAGGTGATGCCCGTCACACACCTGATGGAGGAGACACTGATGAAGCAGCAGCAGCAGATGGAGGAGGACCAGAGGTGGCTGGAGCACGAGGAGAGCTTCTTGGTACTGACACACTCATACACCACACTATTCAGGGCTGTCAAGCTCAAATTTGAGTTTCAAATATTAGTCCAATTAAAAAAAAATTAATTAATGTAATCTTAAAAAGTCCTGGACATAACAAGTCTCATTGACTTCCATAGTAGGAAAAAATATATATTATGGAAGTCAATGAGACTGGTGACTGATATTCTTCTAAATATCAGAAAATCGGCTGAATGGATTCGAAAATGGTAAAACACAACTGTTTAACTCTGGGGGAGTTGTAAAATGAGCCTATTTCCATCACTTTAAATAATAATAATAAAAAAAAAAACATGAACCGTTTAATTATAATAATTAAATGTTTTTAAAAAGGTTCTAAATATTTATGGAAGTTTAAAAATAAAATATTCAGGAAATTAAAAAAAAACAAAAAACTTTTTTTAAGCCTGGAAAAGTCCTGCAAATTTTAGTTTAAATAATAAATTATGTATAGTAGTTGTAACTGTCATGCTATTTAATCGTTTTGCATAAACAATTTAATACAGTGCTTGATTTGGTTTATATTTCTCATTATGCCTTCTTGTTAGCACACTCCTCTAACTAAAATTATCTCCTTAAAATTTAAATATTATTCAAATATTACTATCATTTTAGTAAAAAAAAAAATCATCCAACTCAATTTTTCAACCCTTTTTACAGCCCTAATACTATTCATATTGTTCTAGAAATATCCACGAATTTGAATGAATAGTTCCATAAAATCTTAACTATCTAAAAAGAATATATTTTAATTATTTTTAATAGTTAAATTCTACACTTTTCTTGCGTTTTCTTTTTTTTTTCTAGTCCACTTATAATTTTAGAAAATGTACATCTTAAAGTATATAATAAATATACTAATACATAGTCATTAATAATAACAAACAATAAATGTAAATTCATATGAATATATAATAATAAAGGTTTGTTTATTTGTTATAATTTAGTCATAATTCAGTTTATTGACCATTTTCCACCTTTATACTACTGTACCTTTAAGACTGCTATATGTAAATGAGCTCTAATCTCTCACATGGGTTTTCTTATGTGAATATGAAACATTTGCCGTGTAGTTTCATAAGTGGTCTTGATGGACCGGAGGTTTTGAGTTTGGAAAGGCAATAAGTCACATTAAACATTTCAAATTAGCAGGAAGAAATGCTGTTTTTCTTGAAATGATTCATAGCTTTTCTGATTCACTTCCAGCATTTTGTATGGCTTGTTGGTCACTTTGAGTGTGTTTGGCATCTATTGCATGTGCTGTGGTTGTTGTTACTCTGAGAAAAAGATGGAATAAAACAGTCCCGTCCTGAAAACAAAGCTGTAAATCTGCGCGCACCTGCGAGTGAAACTGTCTTCTTCTCGCCAGAGGAAACTATTCCTTCACATCCACATTCCTGCCAAACGCCGATCTCAGATGCGACGTCTTCCTCACGCTGTTGGTCTCCAGATGATGTGTCAGTGGGGGTTTCGGTTCCCGAGAGAGGAGTTTAATGAACACTCACCAGATCTGACACTCGAGTGATTTCCTTCGCAGGCTGAAACTTTAGATGGGAGGAGTGTTGTTAGCAGACATGTGACTGTAATATCACTGCTCACGGTGAGCGGGAGCGAGACCAACCACAGCGACGACACTTCCCAGTACAGACTCCGGGACAAGAAAAGCTGGGACAGGACCACCACTGAGATCGACTGGCACAGGATCATGCCGACCTGCGGACACGAGATGAGACAGATACGAGACAGAGACGAGAGAGAGAGACATGAGAGACGAGACTGAGATGAGACGAGACTGAGACGTAACAGAGACGTGAGAGACGAGACAGAGACGTACGAGACGGAGATGAGACAGAGACAGAGACGTGAGAGACGAGACAGAGATGAGACGAGACTGAGACGTGACAGAGACGTACGAGACGGAGACGTGAGAGACGAGACCGAGACGTGAGAGACGAGACAGAGACGTGAGAGATGAGACAGAGAAGAGACGGAGACGTGAGTGACGAGACAGAGACAGAGACGTGAGAGACAGAGAAGAGACAGAGACGTGAGAGACGAGATAGACACGAGACGTGCGAGACAGAGATGAGACGTCAGAGACGAGACGTGCAAGAGATGAGACGTGAGAGAAAGAGACGAGACGTCAGAGACAGAGATGAGACAGAGATGAGACGTGACAGACAGAGACGAGACATGAGAGACAAGACAGAGATAAGACGTGCGAGACAGAGATGAGACGTCAGAGACGAGACAGAGATGAGACGTGACAGACAGAGACGAGACATGAGAGACGAGACGTCAGAGACAAGACGTGCGAGACAGAGATGAGACGTCAGAGATGAGACGTGCGAGACATAGACGAGAGGTGCGAGACAGAGACGTGTGCGAGACGAGACAGAGACGTGATTTGACACTCGAGTGATTTCCTCGGCAGGCTGAAACTTTTGATGGGAGGAGTGTTGTTAGCAGACATGTGACTGTAATGTCGCTCTCTGTCCAGTGGAAACTTGGGCGCCGCATCACACGCGTGTCATAAGCGATCGTCTCATTTGGCAGCGGGGGTTTGTGGGAATCAGTGGAAACCCGTGTGGTTTGTGCCTTCCTGAGAAACACTGGCAACTTCTCATTCTTCAAGGAAAAAAATGAAAAAGCTTTTCTCAAAAGGAAAGAATCCGAGTGTGTCTGGAATGAACACAAGTGCACTGCATACTGCACCCTAGTGCACCCTATACCTCAGGATGTTCTTGAAAATGGTCTGATGTTACTAAAATCATTACAAATCACAACACTATAGAATTATTTTTACTGGTTATTCAATTTAAAATATATATATATTTAAATTATCATGAGCTAATGCCTATTTGGGATAGTCCAAGTTTATTTATACAGAGCTTTTTACAATACTAATCGCTTCAAAATGGCTTTACAGAAACAGGAAAAAGCACAATTTAAATGAATATAAATGTCTTTACTCCTCCAGTTGTCAATTATAAACTGTACAGCTGAAAAATGCTTCATCACAATTGACTATTTCCTCTTTTATTGGGAACTTTATAGATGAAAATGAAAAGATCATATGATTCATAACACATGAATAAAGTCATTCAAAACAATGTAATTTATATTTAAAGCTGTTTCAAAGTAGTGGATATTTTCCTCCACTTATATTTGTTTTGGAAAATAAATTAATCTGACAAAATACTAAAATACAGTGTACTCGCATTTTTAATCTAATTTTGCATAAAAAGTGGTATTTTTCCCCTAGCCGTCTTATTAAATAACCGCATAAACTGATATGGTTCGGTTCATTCACTGCACAGGAAATGGAAAGGCAATTTGAGCGCAATGCATTATGGGATAAAGTGTTCCATGCAGTTGTGTTCCTGGTAGATTCAGAAGGTCATTGGTTTTTCCATGCACATTTGCATTCTGCATATTACTTTCTACGTATAAAAATAGCAGGTAGTTGGTCATTGAGATCGGCCCTCAGAGGAGCTGTGTGTGTGTAGAAGCAGCGGGAGGAAGGGAAAGAGAGAGAGAGAGAGAGAGAGCAGGAATCTGGAGGCATCTCACATGGAAACACACACACAGCGCTCACGATCCGCTCAGAGGATGCATCTCTTCAAGTTCTGTTTCGGAAAGCCGGTAACTAGACTTGCGTAGTGAGGAGTTCTTCATGCTCTTCATCCTCTTCACGCTTTCTAGATCATGGAGTATAAACTCGCTGGACCGTTTGGGGAAATCTTTACTTTGTGCTTTAACAAGTTGTGAAGTTTGATGCTTTTCTTGAGGCTTTGAGGTCTGTCAGAACGAAAGTGGGAAATCAGGAAAATTTTAAATTGTGATCTTCAAGTCTGGTAAAATCATGCATTTCTAAAGTTAAAACAAGAAATCAAGTTTTTAAATTAAGCAATTTAATTTAAATAAAAAAATTGTTCTAAATATGTATAAAATAATACAGATTTTAATATTAAAATGTTTATTATGAGTTGTAGCAGTAGAATTATTTATGTATTTTATGTGTAAAATTTCAGGGAGTTAAAAAAAAAAGTGGTTTCCAAGCCAGGAAAAGTCATGATAATTATTACAATCTTAAAATGTTTTGTAAATTTGTAAAGTGAAGAAATTTAATATTTAAATTTTAAATTAAACATTAAATAGTTAAAGGTAGTATATAAATAGTAAAAACAAAATGTTTGACATATTTATAAAATATTACAGATATGGTATATAAATATCAAAATGTTTATTATTATATATTTATGTGTTTAAATTTTTTTTCAAAACCTTAAATTATAAGAAAATATGAAATAAAGTAACCTATATAAATAATTTGTATTTATTTTATTTTTTGTTTAAATAAGAAAATATGTAAATAATTATCAATTAATGTTAAAAATAAAATTAAACAAATTTAAATGTTTGAACTATTCCTGTCATATCGATCAATCGCATAACATAAAAGTTTATAAATATTTAAGTGTGTGTATATATATATATATATATATATATCACATATTATATAATATGTTTACTAACTTTTGTTATATGCAATTAATCCATTTGACAACACTAGTTTAAATTTGATTTGATTTATTATTAATATTATTATTGTTGTATGATTTTAATCTAGACTGGAAAAGTCATGGAAATCCATCAGTCATGTGATGATGACATAATCAGATCTCATGAATATTTGATAATCCTCATGATCTGGAAATGTGTGTTTGATTGATGTGTTGTGTTGTGTGTGTTCAGAAGCCGGAGTCGAGGAACTCGAGGGGCAGTATCGACCGGGAGGACGGCGCTCTCCAGACCCCGGTGAGTTCCCATAATCCCCTGCTTGTTTTTGTTTCTTCCCAGAGGGAGATTTACAGTGCCGTAGCGAGGACACACTTCCTGTCAGAGTCGCAGCCAGTAATGCCGATCACACTCGCCAAAACCTTCCACACAGCTGAAAAGTGCAGATCCTGAACTCATTCCTGAGCGGGAATCTGAAACCCTGAGAGGAGGGTAAATGACAGGGGCATCATGGGAGATTTCATAACTCATGATTACAGCAGATCTGAGCTGATGCAGGACGAGAGCGACGTGTTTGCTCACATTAGTTGAGTGAAACTCATTTTTGGATCTGAAATATGCCTGGCTTTCCCTCAAGCTACCCACAATCCCACAGGGCCCCCGGTGGGCAGCAGGAACCCAGTCTGCAGGAAAACCACTGTGTGTTGTTAAACGCTTGTGTGTGATTGATTGTGTGTTTTCTTTCAGATGGGGAAGCAACACGTTTACCAGCCGGTTGGGAAAGCAGGTATGAACACACACACACACACACACACACACACACTGAAATTCCCCTTTAGACTTAATGCACATTTTCAATACAAATGATACAATGACTTTAACTAGAATCATGTTCTGGTTTTCTTACACAACACAGATTGTTCATTTCCGCTTCACTTTGACTGTTGTGATTTCCAGGTCTAAAAACCATGGAAGTTAATAAAATAAGAGTTAAAAGTAAAATAAAAGAATATATTCGCTATAGTACACATATATAATTTATTAATCATGATTATTCAAATCTAATAAAAATTCTGTTTACATAATATAATGTACGTATGCATTATATTACTGTATCCGGATGCATATATACAGTATAAATATATATGTGTGTGTGTGTGTGTATAGAAAAACAGATGCACACACATAATACATATATACACATATATTACATGTCAGATGCAGTTTATGGATTTGACAGCACTAATATATATAACACACACACAATTTTGGCTATATTTATTGGAATACATATATAGTATTTTTTATATATATATTTTTTAAATAGTTTATTATAAATTAATATTATTATTTATATGTGTATATATATGTAATTAATTACTAAAAAAATGTGTGGAAACAGATTGACAAAGATAAATTTTTTTAAACATACTGGTAATATTTTTGTGATGAATATAATCAATCTTAATATTTATGCAAATTTGATACATTTAAAAGACCAACTTTAATGGAGTTATCAAAATCACAGCACTTACATTTAGGTGTTTGTGTACAGTTCTGTCCTGAAAGAATGCAATTGTCTGTTTGAATATGAAATATTAATAATGAGTCTATAGAGTTCATTATGTTTTTTCACTCATTAATATTTAATAGAGAACGATGTGCGTTTATCATCAGCTTATTGTGTTATGATGAGTAATATGTCAGAAGATTAGTTCATGTGTGTGTGTGTTTTGCAGATCACGTGGCTCCCCCGAAGAAACCGCCCCGTCCCGGCGCGCCGAGTCACCTGACCAACCTGACCCCGGTGGACAGTTACAACGAGGGCGTCAAGGTACTCCAGTGGTCCTGCATGATCCTGCTCACGAGGGGAATCTGAGACGTGTGCCGCATGCGGATTGGCTGTTGTGTCTGCATGTCAACAAACTAAA